ATCACTTTCTTTTTTCTTATTTTTTTAAATTTTTTTGTATTTTAGGGAAGTGTCTACAGGGTGCTCAGGATCTCACTACTAGATTGAACTCGTAGTGATCTGCCTGTTTACAGCCTCCCAAGTGTTGGGATTACAGGTGTACGCCACCACGCCCAGTCTCAGTTGCTGTCTCAGTGTGCCCTGGGGGCAGGGCAGGCAAGGCAGGCCTGAAGATCAAACCCCCGGCCCCTGCACCTGCTGGCAGGTGCTTTAGTCCTCTGAGCTATTTGATTGGCCCAAGATAATCACTTTTTTTTTTTAGATGCAGACTTTTTTTTTTTAATTTATTTGTGTGTGTGTGTGTGTGTGGCCAGCTCAGCCCACCAGGGGGCGGGGCTGACTGGCATGTGGTGCTGGGGGATTGAACCGCGGTCCCTGTGCTTTGCTAAGCTTGTTCTAAGTAGGTGCTTTAGACTACTGAGGCATCTCACCAGCCCCAAGATAATCATTCTTGACTTCTTTCTTTTCACTCTTGACTTCTAATGCCACCTACTAGTCTCTTTTAACTTAGAGTAACCACAATTATACAGCCTGTTCTCTCGGGGGGCTGACTTCTTTGATTCACTGTTACGCTTGTGAGATCCTTGCTGTTTTGCTGCATGTCAGAAGCTCATTCATCCCCACTGCTGTAGTGTCCACTGGGTAGCTCTGCAATTAATTTAGCCATTCTTTCACAAACAATTTGGTGGTTTCCTGTTTCCGGCATCAATACACTTCCTAACTCATGGATTTTTCTTCACGTAAGTAAGCATTGGTATTGGGTGTGTGATTATTGAGTCAGAGGATGACACTATCTTCTAATTTATTTATTTTTTTATTAAATTTATTTATTTATTTATGTGTGTGTGTGTGTGTGTGTGTGTGTGTGTGTGTGTGGCCAGCTCAGCCCACCAGGGGGCGGGGCTGGCTGGCATGTGGTGCTGGGGGATTGAACTGTGGTCCCTGTGCTTTGTTAAGCTTGTTCTAAGTAGGTGCTTTAGAGCACTGAGCCATCTCACCAGCCCCTATCTTCTAATTTAGTAGATACTGCTAAACCATTATGCAGAATACTTGTCAGTTTACACTTGCACAGCATATAATTGTGCCTGGGCACACTTGTTTTGGTTTTCTTTTGCTTTCTGAGACCTTATGAAGACAGAATGGATTGACCCACCTTTGAGTGATTTAATTTTTTTATTGTGGTAAGATATACATAAAATTTACCATATTAAAAACTATTTTGAGGGGCTGGGGAAATGGTTCAGTAGAATAAGTGCTTCCCTGGAAGTGCAAGGGCCTGAGTTCAATCCCCAGTTCTGCCAAAAAAAAAAAAAAATTGAGACAGGGTCTCACTACATAGTTTAGGCTGGTCTTGAACTCACTATGTAGCCCAGGCTGGCTTCAAACTTGCAGCGATCTTCCTAGCTCGACTTCCTTACTGCTGGGGTTACAGGAGTGTGCCACTACACTTAGTCACTACAGCCACCTGAGAAAGTAGTATTTTTGAGGAGTTATGCCAAGCCATGCTGGGAAAAAAAAAATCGAAAGACTCCTGGTATTGAAGTTCACCTCATAAAAATAAATTGTAAGAAGAAACGAATGTGGAAACTGAAGACAATCTTGAACTTCCAAGCTCTATACTCAAACTCAAGGCAAGTGACATTTGCCTACCAATGACTGCAGTCCAGGGAAGGCTGGACTCTTACCAGACCAAGGTTCAAGCCCCAGAAATGCCCACATTATATTTTCTGTGTAACCTGAGACAGGCGACTGCCCCTCTCTGGCCCCATCAGGTTTATCCATGAAACAGTAACTCCTCATTGCTCTTCATGCAGGCCCAGCCAACCACCACTGCACCACTATACTGTGTGTCATAACGATTCTGACCACTAAGCGCCTCACATAAGTAGGACACACAGCCCTTGTCTTGTTGTGACTGGTTAACTTCATTTAATGTAATGTCCTTAAGGTCCATTCACGCTATAGCAGCACGTGACAGAATTTCCTTCCTCTTGAAGGCTGAATAAGGTTACACTGTGTCACATTTTGCTTATCCATTCATCCACTGGGGTAGGTTTCTTCCACATTTGAGCATGGATATGAAAATATCTTTCTGAGATCCTGCTTTCAACTCTTTTGCCTCTAAACTAAGAAGTAGGAATCCTGGATGATTCTATATTTAATCTTCTGAATAACTGCCAGACTGCTTTCCACAGCAGCTAAACCATTTTACATTCCTTTGAACATTGTGTGAAGTGCCCATTTTCTCTACCTCCTCGCTTTCCTGGCTTCTTTGTTTCAAAAAATAGCTATTCTAATGAGTGGGAGGTGGTATTTCATTGTGGTTTTGATTGGCATTCTCTAATAATTAGTGACCACCTTCTTTTTGGCCACTTATTCATTCTTTAGAGAAATGTTTATTTAAATCCTTTGCTTATTACTGATTTAGTTTATTTTTTATTGTTGAATTTTAGGAGTTTTCTATATGTTGTAGCTATTAGCCTCTTCTTAGCTATGTGCTTCGCAAATATTTTCTGCCAAGCTAAGAGTGTCACAAAAGGTTTAGGGTTTTTTTTTTCTTTTTAGATTGTCTTATGATATTGCTCAGGCTGACCTCAAACTCTTGGGCTCAAGTGATCCTCCTGCTGCAGCCTCTGAGAGGCTGAGACTACGGGCATGCAGCCCCACTAAAAATTTGTATGATAGCCAAGCTTTCTATTTTTTTTTTTCTTTTATCTACTGTGCCACTGGTGTTACATCGCAGAAGCCATAGTCAAATGCCATGTTATAAGATTTTTCCCTGGGCTTTATTCTGAGAGTCTTATAGTTTTATCTCTTAAGTTTAGGTCTTTACCTTGTTCTGAGTTAATTTGAGTACATGATACAGTGGCGCCTCAGTTCACTCTCAGGAAGCAGAATCATAGAAGTTCATGAAGTTTTGTTGTATAAGGTAAGACTCCAGATACATCCTTCTGCATAGGGCTATTCAGCTTTTCCAGCACCATTTGTAAAAAGCCATCCTTTTCCCATGGAATGCTCCTTGGCTTTCTTGTTTATAGCATTTGACCCTTCATGAGAGGTCTTATTTTGGAGCGCTATTCTATTGCATTGGTCTATGTGTCTGTCCTTGTATAAGCACCATACTGTTTTGATTACTATAGCTTTGTATGAAATTTTGAAATCAAGAATATGAACTCTTTTATTAGGTTTTTTGTTTTGGGGTTTTTTTTTTGTTTGTTTGTTTTTTTGGCAGAACCAGTGATTGAACTCAGGCCCTTGTGCTTGCCAGGGAAGCACTTATTCTACTAAACCATCTCCCCAGGCTTCCCCCATTAGGTTTTAATAATAAATGCTTGCAAAATGATCACATAAGAGCCAGCTGTATAGCTCAGTGGCACAGTGCCTACCTGGCAAGCATGAGGTCCTGAGTTTGATTCCCAGTACAGAAAATACCTGTCAAACAAAATGAAAGCTGATAGTGACCTACATTTGACCATATCATCTTCCTTGTCAATATGCCTTCTAAAGACAAATAACGTCTTCAATCGTGTGTTTATCTTTGACTTGCTTCCTTTGGATATATTATTAAGGCTTTTTAAAGGTTTTTTTAACTTGATAAGAAAGATATGTTTTATGTAACTTTGGAGCTGTCATTTCTCAATAGCACATTGCCAAGATTCCTTTGGTTTATTCATTTTGATTGCTGGACTATATTTCATCATTCACCCACGAATGAGCATTTGGGTTGCTTGGAGCTTTTTACTGTTGTAAGTGGAGCTTCTTTGATATATGAAGAAGTTTCTCTTAGACATAGCTGTAAGAGCAGATTGTTGGACCACAGAATATATGAAAATTCAACTTTACAGTAGCACATCAAATGGGGTTTAGAGGCAGTTCCACCAATTTATCCCTGTGGTTTCTTTTTCTTAACCAACATGAACCAGGCAGATTTAGCCCATCTGAAATCAGAACAAGTCAAAGACAGGAGCCTTGTGGTGCTGAGCTTCAAGGTGTTATAGAGTTGGGTCAGCCAGTCCGTGGACAGGCAAGAGTTAGACCAAGGCGGAAAGCAAAGAACTCACAAGGGGAGAGGGGAGGAAATCCACTGAGGGATTTGAATAGAATATGGTATAAGCATTGAAAGGTGAAAAGTGCTGGGTAGAACCGTGTAGTTCCTGAGATCCAGCAGCACATCTTGTTCCTTGATTTCTATATTGCCATACACATTTACAGTAATTTTTCAATTTTAATTTTTCTATAATTTCATACCTGAAGAACAGTTCCAAAAATGATGCAAAAAATTCCAAGATACATTTTATTCACATTCTCCAGATGTTAACATTTTCCTGCATTTGCTTTATTCTTTTTCTATTTCTGTGTAAATGTACACATTTTCTCAGCAGTTTGTAAATAGGTTGAAGCCACAATACCCTCATACCCTAAATATATAATAGTGCATATTTCCTAAGAATAGTGCATTCTCTTATGTAACAAGAATATGACAACTTAGTTTTCTCTATAACTGAAATCATACAGTATGTATTCTTTTGCATCTACCTTCTTCTTCTTCTTTTTTCTT